TTTGTTCTGAGGCCGGATTTGAACTCAGGTCCTCCTGACTTCAGGCTCTATCCACTGCGCCACCTAGCTGCCCCGATGTCTACTTTTCAGAGAAAGAGACAGAAAGAGTGGGGAGAGGGACAAAAGGAGAGAGGAGAGAAAAGAAAGAGAGAAGACAAGAGGAGAGAGATTGAGAGGGAAAGATAGAGAGGAGAGGGAGAGAGATGAACAAAAGAGGGGAGAGAGATTAAGAAAGAGACAGGAGGAGTGAGGAGGGGGAGAAAGAGAATAAAGCAACAGGAAGAGAGAAGAAACAAGAAAAGAGAAAGGAGAGAGATTTAGAGAGATGAGAGGAGAGAGGGAGAGAGAAAGAGAGGAAGGGGAAAGAGAAGAGAGATCTGCCTCCTATGAAACCTGAATGTGGCTTAGTACAGACAGGGTCTCTGTGTTGTCTTTTACTCACACAAGAGTGTTTCTTGATAAGGAGAAGTGAGAGAGGGCAGCAGCCTGTGTAGAATGCCAGATGTGACATAGCCGGTGCCAAACCAGAGCCTCCAACAGCTGCTAGGTGTTCTTTCACTGTTGGCTTCCCCTGGCACCAGAAGCTTCAGAATATATTTCAAGTCTTTCCTTGCCAGCCTCCCTCTCCACAGCCCATCCCGGCCACTTTCCAGAGCTCTCCATGTTCCTGTCCCTCTTCCCTCACTGTATTTCCTTCTTCCTACTGTTGGGCAACAACGTTGGCTTTTTCCTCTGCCCAGAGGGAGAGGTTTTTGAGTTGAAGAGCCATGAGCGCTGACAAGTTTCTCTGTCTTCTCTCACTGTGCATGTACCAGGTGCATCTTAGTCCTAGGGAGTGGTTGCTAGGGATGGGGATGGTGGGGGGTTTGGGGGGGAAAGCCCCCGACTGCATCTGATAGACTCAGAGAACATTTTGTTTTTCTTAATAAAATTTTTATTGTGCTGTTGCCAGCTTTTCAGAACACAAAAGGGAGGCCACCCCTGCCCTTTTAACTGCACGTTTTTCAGGGGTGGGGAGGAAAGAGGGTTGAGGGCAATAATGGAAAATGTGTTTTTAAGCAGCAGTTGGAGAAGAGCTAGAAGAGAAATTATTCTGGAAAGTACTGGAAATTGCAGATTCCAAATAAGCATCCTGATGTTAGCCTTCTTAGCTTTTTTTTTTTTAAAGTTCTGTGTCTGGCCACCAGCGAATATAACTTGCAATAGCAGGTCTTCTGAATGAGGAAACTGTGGAACTGAGCAGCATTGAAAAGAAAATTGACTGGCTGCCAGCCTTTTCTGGTTGTTCTGGTTTTTTCATTTCTTGGAAATCTAGGACTTGTACTAGAGCATTAAGAAAACATCTTTATTTCTGAGTACCCAGCTGTTATGGACACCCAGACCCCCAAAAAAGAAAACGCAGGAGACTACTTCTAGACTGTGTTCTTGGAGTACTGTCCTTTGTTACTTTGCATTGGCCTGTTGTTATGGTAGATTTTTATGCCCCCTTTCCCCTTTTGAAAGAATTAGCTTGGAGGTGTTGGCACTATTTTTCAGAGAACTTTTCTATGATGAGGTGTTCTACCAGGAAGAAGCCAAACTTCCTTGGCCTGCAGAGATTCCTCGGGGTTTTGGTAGTACAATCAGAATCCATTTTTGGCAAAATGAGTCTTTTAGAGTCCTGGGATAGGGATTCTTATCCTCTTGTGCATCATGGATCCTTCTGACAGCCTGTTTACCTCTTCTCAGAATGATGTTTTGAAATGCATGAAGCTAAATCCATAGAACTACAAAGGAAACCAGCTATGTTGAAATACAGTTATGAGGGCAGCTAGGTGTCACAGTGCATAGAGTGCTGGGCCTGGAGTCAGGAAGACTCATCTTCCTGAGTTCAAACCTGGCGTCAGACACACTTACTAACTGTGTGACCCTGGGCAAGTCACTTAACCTTGTTTGTCTCAGTTTTTTCAACTGTAAAATAAACTAGAGAAGGAAATGGCAAACTACTACAGTATCTTTGCCAAGAAAAGAAGGGATCACAGAGAGTCAGACATGACTGAAAACGACTAAACAAAAACAGTCATCGAAATATTTTTAAAAGACAAGTTCAAATACACTCTTCCCACCTACCCCCAAATTTATGAAACCCTGACCTAGTAAATTCCAGACATTAGTTAGTTAGCAAGTAGTGCCATTTACAGACTGAGAAACTGATCAATAGGTTTGAAACTCTGCTGAGTAAAAATGGCCCCAGTGCTCCATCAGCTCATACATTTGTGATACCCTTGATTGTTAGAGTTGGGCCTCCATCCATCCTTTCGCCGGTTTGAACATAGATCCTACTCCTGTGCTTTGGCTATGACGTGGAAGGGGCTTCAGACATCAGGGTCCTCCATACCAGAAACAGGGGCCTACTCCAATCTTCCTGACCTGTGTCTTGCCACTGGACCCAGATGGCTCCAGAGGAGAAAGTGAAGCTGGAGACTTTGCACAGCCCTCCCTCACTTAAGTTGAATTCACTTGTACATCATGGCATCACCTTCCTAATGTCAGGGTCCTCTTTGAGAATGAAGGACCAAAAGGAACCAGAAACATTGTTTGGAATACAGACATGTAACGTCATGATGAAGAAATCTAGACATTTCCATCAGCAGGGGGCTAGAGGTACTTTCTGGAAGCATTTAGAAAACATTCTCTGCACATATTTAGAAACTTCTGCCCATGTTGTCTCCAGCCCTGTAACTTTCTCTCTTCTGATTTTTCCAATGGGCGATGTTTGCCCAGAAACTTGATCTTTGAATTCTTTAAAGGCCCTCCTCTGTGATAGTAATTCCTTCCTTGATTGGGATAATCCTTTGTTTAAAGCTGTCTGGTCACTATGCCCTCAAATAAGATGTTACATCACAGATGGAAGATTGTGTATCATTTTTTATTCTTCTGGGTAATGGGGACAAGATGACAACAGTTATTATTTGGTGAGATAGGTAGGTAGCCTATGTCTGAAGTCTGTTGCTACAGGAATTAGGTTTGGTAATCTCATGTATTTCTTGACAGACAGCATCTGGTTTGATTTTCTTTTTTGAATATGGAAGCATTTTGAGGAGGCAAACAATTCTGTTTTTATTTTTAACCAGCTTGGTAAGCACAGAAATTTTTCTTGATGCTTGTAAGAAGGGAACCAGTAAATTTGCATCAACAGTTTGGGCTCTGGGCATGGCAGTTGGTAAGCCAGGATAACATTTTCAGATTACTTTTGCACGTTTGCTAATGTAGGGGTGGAAAAGGATCCATGCTGTCAAAACTGGCTTCTCTTTTTTTTTCTCTTTTTTTTCCTCCTCTTTTGGCCAGAGTCCAAGGTCTCTTTCCTTAGGCCCTGGGGAGACCTCAGGAGGAGTCTGGGATATGTTAGGGGTGGCAACATTAGCTGTCATCAGGTCCCCAGAGTTTGAACAGCAAAGTCTGCTTAAGTCTCAGCTTCTGGGGTTTCTGCCACGGGCTTCCAGAGCCACCTCCGGGCCTAATGCTTAAATTCATGTACAACAAACACTGGAATTTGGAGAGTCTGGGTAGGTGCACAGGAAAAGAGGATGCTTACCTTCTCTTCCTGCTCACTCAGCCCACCTTCACCTTCACCGCTGGGTGGTGTGATAAAAAGAACACTATGGTTTGATACAAGAGTGGAATAAGCATTTATTAAACACCTACTGTGTGCCAAGTACTACTCTAAGTGCTTTACAAATATAATCAGTAGGAGTGATGATATAGAAAACACCAGTTTCAGTTCTGAGTTGGGCACTTTCTCACTGTGTAACTCTAAGCAAGTCACTTCTCTCTGAACTTCAGTTTCCTCTTAGGTAAAATAAGAGGATTGGGCTCAGTTCTTTCCACCGGCTCCTTTTAATTCCAACATTCTGAAAAAAATGGCCAACCACACAGGTGGCGATTCTCATCCTGAAGCTGAGAAACATTCCCATTTTGTAACCGTTAAGTTTTACATATGCATTAGAGTTTGTACTTTTCTATTTTTAAAGCCTAGGCAAGTGAATTTCTTTTTTTGCTAAATGTGGGCCACCCCTCATCAGCCTCTTTTAAGTGCAGTTGTACCAGAAAGTAGCTGTACCTTATAGTAATTGCATGGTACATTTTGATTAAAAACTCCCCAAAACGACTTGTTTTTTCTGGTTTCTACTTCCACCAAAAATAGGCAAACACAGTTGTAGGGACACAAGCTTTGGGTAACATTAGTTCCTCAAACTCTGTGCTCAGGGAGACCCTAGAATTCATACCCTCATACCTTTTACCTTTTGGAATCCTTCACATCCTTCAAGGCTCAACCCAGATGCTTCCTCCTCCATGAAGCCTGTCTTGATCCCCGGCCCCCAAGTTACATTTTCATTTACTTTGTAGACAGTGTTGACTTTTCTCTGTACATATTTCATCCTGTCACCCCACTCCCCAGTAAAATGTAAATTCCTCCAAAAACGGGTGATTTTTCGTGTTTCCTTTGTATCGCCCACACCTAACCCAGTGCCTCAGACATAAGCATTTAGAAGTACCTGTTGATTGTTGAATTGAATAATGAGCATTCCTTATAAACATTGTCTGTTGCTTTGTTCAACATACTTCACTGAGTTCAGTTGAACATAGGGTGAAGTTAGTTGCCTCTTGCCTCTTCTGCATAGGGGCAGTACACTAATGACAACTAACTTTTACATGTAATATCTCATTTGCTCCTCACAGCAACCTGGGAGCTGGGTGCTATTATTATCCCCATTTCATAGATAATCAGTCAATAAACATTAAATGCCTACTGTGTGCCAGCACTGTGCCGAGTGCTAGAAGAGAAAAGTGAAGTGACTTGCCCAGGGTCCCACAGCTAGCAGGATTTGAATTTAGGGTCCAGCACTCTATATACTTAGCCTGTGGTGTCAAACACTCAAATAGATATGGGTTCCTGCAAGCCCATATTGATTTAGAAAAAAATAAATTAACATTGTCTACAGTGTATTGTATTTTTATTTATTGTGTTAAACATTTCCCAGTTACATTTTGATCTGGTTCTGGCCTCCCTGGGGAATTAGGGGAGCCGTTGGCTAGAAGGGTATATCAGACTGACTCCCTAAATCATTCCAGCCAGGAAAGGCCTGTGGGTGGGTCAGGGTTAAAGCCAGGGGAAAGTGGAACTACCAGACATTCCAACTGGAGCAGTTCTTGGCCGGGAGTTACCTGGCCTTCTCTTCCAGCTGTGCCTGCAGACTCTGGTTTAGCAGGGAGAATTCTTGAGTAGTGGGGAGAGAGTGGGTATCACCCCTCTGGGCCTGGAAAGGTGGAGAATGATTCTGTTAGAGCTGTCTGCTGTTAGTACAGTCAACAACAGTATCCATCCAGTGGAGCAAATTAGTGTATTACAGTTCCAATAAGGTTGCCACCTGTTTCCTATTAGCCCAGACAGATGAGAAGCCCTGGCCGTCTACTGGGTAATAGTGTACTTGGGCAAGAGCATACCGTGTAATCGTGCCTAGAGCACCAATATAATGAGTTATTTTGATCCTTGGCCCTTTTTTTTTTGGCTTGACAACTAGGTTCAAGCAAATCACTGACCTTCTCAGTATTTCTGTCATCGTATCTATAACAAGGAAATTTGGGTCACTGGCTTCACCCCATCTAATGTGGAATCTGTCTCTGTCACTTTCTCCTTGTAAGTTTGCCCTTCTGTCTCTCTTTGTCTTTCCCCAGGTCTCTTGCCACTCATTCTCTGATTGTGGATTTGTCTTCCCTTCATTCTTCCCGGATCTCTCTTTTCTCTCCCTTTGCTTTTCTCTTTTCCTTCTCCCTCCCCTCCTCCCCTTCACTTTCTCCCCCGTATCAGTCTCTCACTCGCCTATTCGTGATAGTCTCTGGTTCCCTGTATCCGTTTCTGACCCTCTCCTTTCCTATCAATACAGATATCAGTTATTCTATTTAATATCTCTTTTGTCTTTACATCCCACATCACTCTGCCACCCTTTGACTCCCTTCTCCTGATCTTTGACCCTCTTGTCTCCTCTTTCCTTATTCCTTGTTTCTCCTCACTTCCCACCCTTACCTAGAGGTACCAGCTTTATCAATTTCAAGGCCATCATCCCTTCTATATTGTACTTGTTACCTGCTGTATGTCTGGGCAGCCCTGTGAAAGAAACAGAATTCATCTTTAGGACCATAGAATCACAGTATGTAGAGCTGAAAGAAATTGTGGGGAATCTTCATCTAGTCCATCCCCTTCCTTGTACATATGAAGAAGTGGGCCCTTAGATATAGAATGACTAGCTCAAGATCACCCAGGTAAGGAACTTCATACATCCCTCTTCTTTTTCTTTTTTTTCTTTTTTTCTTTTAGGCAGTTGGGGTTAAGTGACTTGTCCAGGGTCACACAGCTAGTAAGTGTCAAGTGTCTGAGGCCAGATTTGAACTCAAGTCCTCCTGACTCCAAGGCTGGAGCTCTATCCACTGCTCCACCTCACTGCCCCTCATTCATTTCTTTTCAACACCTTTCTCCCTGCCCCGAGATCCTCTGCCTCCCCTCCAAAACTCTCAGTGCCTTCATGATGCCTTTTGTTTGCCATAGAGCCCCACTCAGACCTATGCTTTTTAGACAGTAACCCATACCCTCTAATTTCCCCTCCCTTTCCCCCTTCCCCTTGAACTTATCTAAACCAATTATTAGATGGAAATTAATAACTTACTTATCTTTCAGACTAATGTGTCAGACTAATGATATGCCTCCATAATGTGCTACTCCTTCCAGGGTAGCATTTTAAGAGAGCTTAGTTAATCCAAAGGAAATACTATCTACTGGTGGAATATTAGGTGTGATTACAAGTTCGTAGCAGGTATTTCAGAGCTGGGTACATCCCACGAATCGCCACCTATTCTACTTACAAGTAAGGTCAAAATCAGAATTTAGTGAGACCCTGCTTATAAAGTATTTTGAACTGTTAATTAGCTAGCACTTCTTAAGCCCCTGCTATGTGCCAGGCACAGTACTAAGGGCTATTAAAAAGAATAGTATTTAATAAATACAAATTATGACTAATGCCTAGTCTGGCCTTAAGTCAATGTATAAATATCACCCACATATTTCATTTTGCAGGGTTTTTTTCCCCACAATATTTCATTGATAAAATTGTTTCATTCTCTATTTTTGCATCACTTGATCCTGGAAGTAATAGGGAGCTACTTGAGTTTATTGAGGTGGGATAGGGGGAGAGACTGACGTAATCATGAGCTTTAGAAAAGTCACTTTGGGAGCTAGGTAGTGGATGGATTGGAGCAGGCAAAGCCCAGACTTTGTGAGGGGAAAGATCATGTCTTCTCTAAATTGTGTGTGGTTCCCCCCTTCCCCACGCTTAGCCCTGTTCTGTCTACAGTTAAGTGCTTGATCAATGTCTGTTTAATTTAATCCCTGTTTCCCAGATGAGGAAACTAAGTCTCAGAGCAGTGTGATTGGACAAGTAAAGAAGGCAGCTCTTCAACCCAGGGCCTCTAATTCCAAGTTCAGTGTTCTCGTCACCATGCCATACACGGATGCCCAAATCTTGTGCTCTGTGGGGCACTGGGAGGATATCGTATCTTAAAATGCCCCGCACTTACCCACCAGAGTGTCTGAAACATCTCTGTTAAAATTACATTCCTTTGAGTTGAGCAAACACCACTGGGAAGAGTATGTTGTTCAATCCTGTCCAACTCTTCGTGGCCCCATTTGGGGTTTTCTTGGCAGAGACACTGGAATGGCTTGCCATTTTCCTTCTGCAGCTCATTTTGCCAATGAGTAACTAAGGCAAACAGGGTTAAGTGACTTGCCAGGGTCATATAGCTGGTAAGCTAGTGAGGTTGGATTTGAACTCAGAAAAATGAGTCATATTGATTCCAGGTCCAGCACTCACCAAACCTGCCTAGCTGCCCATTCACTAACAGTTTATCAGAATGATCTCCCTGACAGGAGGGTTGGGGAAGTCTAAGAAACTAGGTGAGGGATGGGGGTAGTGAGAGGGAGGCAGCCAAGGGTCTATAGGGAGAAAAGGTTTGGAGGAAGAAGATGTCAGAGACAAATTCAGACTGCCTCAGTTTTGCTGAGGACAGGGGGTCGGTAGAGGTGATGAAAGGGCTTTGTCAACATAGTATCATAGGTCTAAGGCTGAAGAGAAATTTAAATATCATCGGATCCCATTTTACAAATGAGGCTAAGTGATATAAAAAGAGAAGCTTTTTAAAGTCATCTTAAATCAAATAAATTGAATATATAAAAATATGGCTACGATATTTATGGTAGAAATAGAGGCAAAGACAAGAACTTAACACGTTATTTTGTCATACATGTGTCCCCAGGGCTTGGCACCAGAAGGTGCTTAATAAATGCTTGTTAACTGAGTGCCCAATCTCATGGCTAGTAAGAAGCAGAGAAGGATTTAAACCTAGGTCTTCTTCACTTTAAGTCCAAGATTCTGTCCATTTCACCATACTGCATGATTGATCCTTCAACCGTTCCCCCTTATTTCATCATGGTAGCCCAAGAGAATCATGCCTGAGTCCTGAATCCTAAAATTATGCCACAACTGTTTTCGTAGTCTGAAGAGGTAGTTGCCAGAAAGGTGTAGTGTGTGTCTTCTGTCATCCCTGATCACTGCCCCACAATCCCTCCTCTCTGGGATATACCTCTGGGGTACAGCCTTCTGTGACTTTATGACCAAGTCATGACCATGACCATGACTCAGGGTTTTAGATGATTCTGCTCTTCTCTTTAGTGACTCTGAAGGGAAGAGAGGATACAAGGAAGCTATTGTTTTTTCCTGATGTCACAGTGGTTGGGTTGGTTTTTGTTTTTTGTGGGGTTTTTAAAACACTTTCTCTTTGAGTTGTGGCCACTGATTTGCTCAGCTCTTTTCTCCAGCAATTTCCCATCCCCCTCCAAAGTTTTTTTCAGATGAATAGCAGTTGTTGCATTTCTTCTTCTCCTTCTTCTTCTTCTTCCTTCTTCTTCTTCTTTTCCTCCTTTTTCACCTTCCTTCTGGTTTTTTTTTTTTGTCCAGGGCAAATAGGCAGGAGTTTATATGGCAAAATGAATGGAGTGCTTGACTTGGCATCAAAATAGTCCAAAGTTGTTTGAATATTGCCTTAGTTACTTACCATCTGTGTGCTCTTAGCCAAGTCACTGAACTTGAGTGAGCCTCATTTTTTTCATCTGTAAACTAGGGATAAGAATACTATCTACCTCATAGAGTTATTATGAGAATGTAAGACACTATATAAATATGAACCATTGTTATATGTAGAGAAAACTTTAAAAAAATTCATCTCAAATTAGATAAACTGAATATGTAAAAATATAGCAGTAGTATTTATGGATGCAATAGAGGCTAAGACAGAATCTGCTGACAGGTTTTGAGCATATAATATGGAGTCTGAGTGGTACAGTAGAAAGAGCACTGGCTCAGGAGTCAGAGGACTGGAGTTCAAATCCTGTGTCTGATACTACCTGTGTGACCTTGGATACATCACTTACTTTCCATGAACCTTCATATCTTCATCTGTAAAATGAAAGCACTGGCCCAGATAGGCTTTGAGGCCCTTCCCAGCTCTAGAGCTGTGATCCGATGGTAGATAAATACACCCTAATAAAATAATCCTTAATAGAGTCCTACTCTGGAGCTTCCTCTTTGACCTCTAGGAAGCTGTCACCATCATGCCAGCAGAGCACAAGCTCTAGCAGGGCTCATTAAGGGAAGGCTTCACAGGCAGGGACCTGGTAATGGACTGTCATGGAGGGTGGGATGGAGCAGCCTAGCTAAGTTGGGAAGCTCATCCCCAAGTCGGTGATACAGGGATGAATTTTACCACACTGCGAGTCTCTAGGACTGTCTGCGAAGGCCCTACATGGAGCAGAAGTCCAGGGTCTGCATCAGAGAAAGGAATACTCATCCTGATAAAATCTCAGGTCCTTGCACGGGTGGACAGCCGCCAGCCCCACTTGCCGAGAAGTTTTTGAGTGTGCGCTCATTAAAGGACCTTGTGGGCCTAGCCTCTTTAATGTTTGGACAATGGAAGACAGCAAACTTCTTTCTTGTAAGCAGTTTCATTGCATTTTTATCCTGAAGAACTGGGCCTCATCTGCCCAAAGAGGAGGGTAAAATCTGACTACTTCTGTGACCTTGATGAATGCTCAAGTCCTGATTTTGATGTGGGATTCTTTTTCTTTTTCCTTTTTTCCTTTTTTTCATTTTAGCCTTTGCATTTAGTTTGTGTGTTTGTTTGTTTGTTCTTGTTTGTTTGTTTTTTTTTAGAATAGTCCTTATCAGCGGCAGGAGGTCCTTCTGTAGCATCTTTTCAGTGCTGCCTTATCGGGACTGCGCCCAGACTGGGTATGTATGCGCATGCACCTCTGGTGGTTTCTTGGGGGTGTCTTGAAAGGGCCCCACAGATGCCGACGCTCTAGCCAGCGCTGGCATTTCAAAATACTTGTCTTCCCACTTGACGGGAAAGCCAATATTTAGAGATTGGGGGTGGGGTAGGGTGGGGGGGTGGGGGAAGGAGACTTGCCCTGTTTGTTCCACATTCTTTTCAGCCAGAGAGGTTTTTCTGTTCATGCCGTTTCGTGTTTTTCCACCATTGCTTCTGCTGTTCTAATGCATATTTATTTTTTGAACCATGCCAAGGCAATAAAGCAAAAGCAATTCAGGGAAACCTATAAATCCTGCTGGGTGGCATTCAAACATAAGGAAAGGTCTTTTACGAAAGCGGATGAATGGAACATAGCCAGGCAGCAGGACAGCCTTCCTTTAACTGCCCAGCTTTGGAAGTATCAACTGCCCAAGTGTCAGGAAAACACGACGGCACCAACAGATAGTCAGAGGAAGGGGGTCTTCACTCTCTGTCTCCCCCCCAGCCCCGACTTGGACTTTGAAAGCGCCAAGAGAAGCAGGGTTGCATTTGCAAGTAACTTGGCTTCCTTATCCTCTACTGAATGTGCAGTGATATTCCCACCTCCCGCATTGTTGCTCATGTCTTTGTTCTTGCCTGGCATGCCTTCCCTCCTCCTCCCTAAAGATCTAATTCTGCCCATCCTTTAAGGCTCAATGAAAGTTCTGCTCCTCCGTGAAGCCTACCCAGACTACTTAGACCAAGGTTCCCAACCTTTCAGGGTCCCTGTTCCCTATGGTTTTTCAGTAACCTTTCAAATACCCTCTTGCTTACATGAAAGAAAGTGCATTCCCCAGTTTACCATGCATATAATGTCCATAAGAAATAAAATCAAGGCATTAAATGTTCTTCTTCATGCATACACAACAAAAATTTTGTAACTTCATTGATCAGAAAACAATTTTAATTTCTAGACTCTTTCAATAGTCTAGACCCAAGGGTAGGCATACCCCAGATTGGGAACCAGTGACTTAGAAAATAGGGCTCTTCCCCTCCTCTGAACTCCCATAGCATCTAGGGTCGTCTGTATGCATATTGGTGCTTTTGGATGTACTTGAGGGTGAGCTGCTTGAGAGCAGGAGACATGACTTATTCATCTTTATGTTATATGAAAGACAGCTAGGCAGATAGAGTCAGGAAGAACTAGCTGTGTGACCCTGGGTAAATCACTTAACCTCTATTTGTCTCAGTTTCCTAGATTGTAAAATAGAAATAATAACACCATCTACCCCGCAGAGTTGTCGTAAAGATCATATCAGATAATATTTGTAAAGCACTTAACATAGTGCGTGGCACATAGTAGGCACCAGATAAATGTTTATTCCCTTCAGTTCCCTTCCCCTTTATGTCCCTAATAACTGTCTAATACAAGATGCTAAACAATTAACAAGAATACTGTCTTGTGTAGTTCACATTAAAGTGGAATGAAGAACCACAAAATTATATGCCAAAACTAAAAAGAAAAATTGTAAACTGAAAGAAAAACTACCAGGTGAATGAATTTGGGGGGCCACAGAAACTGGTGAAGACCATTGTGATGTGCGTTAATGGAGGATCTGTCCACAGGGTCTTTTAAAATACTGAAATATGGAGTGCCCAGTAGGTATTTATAATCTGTCATGCCACCTTAAGTTGTGAGTGTCTGGAGGTAAGAGGCCATGGAATGTGTGTCCTAATCACCATCCATCTAGAACAGTGCAGACACTCAACAAAACTTGTGGAGGAGAAGCCATATGGCTTAGTGGGTAGAGTAGTGTGGGACTTTGGGTAGCTAGGTGGCTCAGTTGATAGAGTAGTGGGCTTGGAATCAGGAAGACCCATCTTCCTGAGTTCAGATCTGGCCTCAGACACTTACTAGCTGTGTGACCCTGGGCAAGCCACTTAACCTTGTTTGCCTCAGTTTCCTCATCTGTAAAATGAGCTGGAGAAGGAAATGGCAAACCACTCCAGTATCTTTGCCAAGAAAACTCCCAATGGGGTCACAAAGAGTCTGAAGTGACTGAACAACAACAGTGCTGAACTTAGAATCAGAAAGACCTAGTTCACATCATGCCTCATCTCTTGCTTAGCTGTGTGATCTGGGGCAAGCCTCTAGGACTCAATTAAAATGAGGGAGATTGAACTAGCTGGCCTGTAAGCTACCTTCCAGCTTTAGGTGGGATTTTATGATCCTATTGTCCAGTTATGAGCCTAGAGAGAGAAGAAGGTCCTGGTGCCAGAGTGGGCCTCAGAGGGACTTAGAAGCTTAGGACTAGATGTGACAAATGAGATGAAAGCATGGGTCAGTAATCATTTCCTCCCTGAAGCTTTCCCCAGATCTCCTCAACCAGGAAATCCTTCATTCTTTGAATTTCTCTGATGCATTCTACATTGCATTGCATTGAATTACATTTGTGTTTTATTTTTCGTGTTGTTATTCAGCATGTTGTTCAGTCACATCCGACTCTTCATGACCCCATAGACTTGTCCATGAGGTTTTCTTGGCAAAGGTACTGGAATGATGTGACATTTCTTTCTCCAGTGTGTCCCCATTCTACAAAATGAGGAACTGAGGTAAATAAGATTTGAGTGACTTGCCCAGGGTCACACAGCTAGTAAGTATCTAAGGCCAGATTTGAAGTCAGATCTTCCTGATTCTAAGCCCACTGCTCTGTCCACTGCACCACCTTTATTTTTCATTCTGGACTCTAAACTGAGGTCAAGGAGCATGCATTGCTTACCTTTGTATCCCTAGCACCTCTCCTAACATGTGGCCTTGAACATTGTGGGTGTTTAATTGATGTTAACTGACTCATGAGCCAGGAGAGACCAGCTTTGGAATCCTGCTTCCAGTGCTGACTGTGTGATCATTCATCCATAAGTCAATTAACTATTCAGAGTCTTAGACTATAAATGTATCCTTCATCTGTCAAATGGCAGTGATAATAACTGTAGCACCCACGTCACAGAATTGTTGTGAGCATCCAATGAGATCCTGTACTTGGAAGCCTTTTGTAAATCATAAAACATTACTACCAAGTGATATAGTGGGTAGAGTGCTAGACTTGGAGTCAGGAAGACCTGAGTTCAAATCTAGCGTCAGGAACATACTAGCTATGTGACCCTGGGTAAGTCACTTTTCCCTCTCTCTAATTTAGTTCCCTCATCAAATTAACTGGCCAAGTCAGCAAGTATTTTTAAACTCTAACTCTGTGCCAGGTACCTTACTAAGCTCTGGGAATACAAATAGAACGGAAAGACACCCTGCCCTCAAGGAACTTACATTCTAATGAAGGAAGATAACACAAGTGAAGGGCAGGGAGAAGAGAAGAGATGACCTTTTCAGTGCTGCAGCATGATAAGAGTCCAGGGAGGCAGGAGTGTCCTCTGCAAAGGAATAAAGACATAGCTGCCCTGGATGGATGGCCTCCTTAAGATGGTGGGTCAGTGGTAAAACAGGAGGATGAAGGGGAAGAAGATATTTCCAGCGTGTGAAGTCCAGGAGTGAAGGGAACTTCCAGGGCAAAGAGGTTTCTATGATATATCAGACAAAGTCTAGAGAATACAGCCTAGGGAAGAATGAAAACCATCTGTAAAATGGGGGTAATCGGGGGCACCTAGGTAGTGTAGTAGATAGAGCATCGGCCCTGGAGTCAGGAGGACCTGAGTTCAAATCCGACCTCAGACATATAACATAACACTCACTAGCTGTGGGACCCTGGACAAGTCACTTAACCCCAATTCCCTCACCAAAAAAAAAAATATGGTGGTAATCATATTTTAGTCTTGTTAACTAAATAATCCCACAGAGCTTGGTACATAATAACTGCCATATCAAGGGTAGCTTTTATTACCGTTATTACAAAAATGTTATGTGTTTATTTACTTATTGATTGATTTTTTGCTGCTGCGCTTGCAATTCCTACTCTGCCCATGAGCCATAGGAAGTGTTAGTCCTGTCAATCAATTAGTGACTCCCTCATATAATCTGCTTTCAAGTATTCAAGGGCTGAGACACGGGAGAAGGAGGAGACTTGTTTTGATTGGCTCTTAGGAGGACGGAACTAGGAGGAATGCGTGGGAAGATGGCAAAGAGGCAGATTTTTGGCTCCCTATAAGGAAGAATTTGTTATTGTTGTTACTCATTTGTGTCTGATTCTTCATGGGGTTTTCTTGGCGAAGATTCTGGAATGGTTCACCATTTCCTTCTCTAGTGGATTAAAGCAGACGGAGGTTAAGTGACTTGCCCAGGGTCACACAGCTAATCAAGTGTCAGAGGCCGGATTTGAACTTAGGTCTTCCTGACTCAAGGCCTAGCTCTCTGTTCACTGAGCCACCTGGCTGCCCCAGAAAGGAGCATGGGCTGCCTCGGGAGAGCCGGGGATTTCTCCATCACAGGTGGTCTTCAGGTAGCACCTACAGCATCACTTCTGTGCTTGCTTGGCTGTGGGAGATATTCTTGTTTAGGTGTGGGTTGGGCTAGATGGCGTCTGAAGGGTCTTCCAACCCTGAGACTCTGTAACTTACTGCGTGCCTACTATGTGTCCAAGCCCCTTCCCCCGAAGAGTTCAGAGTTTAGTTAACAAGACTAAAATAAAACAGTTAAGAAATGCTATGTGACAATAACATCCACAGATTGTCCCCACAAGTCTTAGTGCTGTTCTAACTTAATAAAGCTCAGAATTCTCATTTTTAAAGCTATTTTAAATGAAGGGCTTAATTAACTTGAAATTTTGATTTAATTTTTAAAGCTATGAAAGCTTAAAGCTGCTGTAAGACTTTTGGGACACCTTGTATATTAGGTTCTAATAAACAACAATAATAATGTTGTTCAATTATTTTCAGTCATGTGCTGTTCTTCATGACCCCATTTGGGGTTTTCTTGGTAAAGATACTAGAGTGGTTTGCCATTTCCATCTCCAGCCCATTTTATAGATGAGGAAACTGAGGCAAACAGGGTTCA